GGTCAAGGGACCAGGCCCTTCTGTCAATCTTTAATGTGATTAGATTGTGGAATCATCACTCAGGCAATTCCAGGGTGGTTTTCCCATTTTCATCTTTGCCATCCGGCTTTTAAAATCCTTCCAAACTATGGCGAATAAAGCAGATTTGCTTAAGGCCCTTCAGTGTCAGGGGAAGAGCAGAAGCTCTCATCAGTCTGTTCAACTTCTGAGAGTGCTGCAGTAAGACCTTTATTTTGATCCCATTAATGTCTGCTTTAAACAAATAACTGTTTAAAGGTTTCTATCCTCCCGGCATGGGTTTCTTGCCTTCCCCTCTCCTTTCCCCCCATTATCTTGCAAATCTTGGCTATCTGTGGCTTCAGCTTAACTAATTCTTTTGGCAGAAGTCCTAAAATAACTCAGATTCCAATCTTGGCTCTGTCTCAAGATCCACCCATCATCTACCTTTCATTTTGGTTATTGGAGATAACAACAACAAAGGGATTGATATTTGTTTATTTCTTGTTACTTTGCATTTCCTTATGATCCAGAGAGCCTCCTATGAAACAAAGGAGGTAATGACCAAGTGTTCACAATTGCCCATTTCTTACCCTCTACTTTGCTTCACCCAACTGTAGGCAGGTTTTCCCCCACCCACAGCCCATAAATCTTGGCTTGCGCCAGGTTTAAACAAGCACACAGGTGAACACTGCCCCCCTTAACAGTTCAGTCTGAGAATCTGCTGACTAAAGAGAAAAATATTCCTGCTGGGTAACCTGACATTGCACCTACAGCCCCACCATCTCTTTCCCTCCTCACCCACATAGTCCCTGCCAGTCCTGCCCACCTCTGCCTATAAAAGAAAAGTCTGGTCTGATTGATGTCTGATGCTTGCAGATTTCTCAGATCCGAATGGTAGATAACTTCCCTAATATGAGCACCCTCGACATGATGAGACATAATGTCGGAGTCTGGCTTCCTGTCTGCGAGGCGGCAGGTGACGTCCCGGCGCTGTGACTACCGACCGCAGTGGGCGAGGCAGGAGCCAGCCTGGTGCAAGGGTGTGGGCGGGCGCCTGGACAAGGACGTGGTCTCTTTCACAACCGCCATATTGCCCACCCCAACCTCCCCGCCCCCTTCCCTGCTGCAAATTCACAATGGAGCCTGTGCCCTCACCGTGCCCAGCTCTACCCACTGTCCCCGGTCGGGATCCCAGACTCCTCCAGCCTGCCCTTCCCCACCCACCCGTGCCGTGGGCAGGGGCGGCAGGCCCTCTGGATGTCAGTGGCCTAAAACTGCTCTGCCTGGAGGGCTGGGTGGGGTTTGCACCAGGAGACCTTGATCCCTGCAGGCAGTTGAGGGGTGGAGTCCAAGTGGTCCTTGGTCCTGGCGGGACCCACCCATCGGCTGGGATGCGGTGACATTCAGCCCTGCCTGGGGGTGACAGCCCCCCCCCAACCTCCATGGCTTTCCCTAGAAGGGCATCTGCTGTGCCCACCCTCCTCGCTCAGTGCCCTTCCCAGCTTTTCAGTCTGTCGCCATCATATGGCCGATGCTCTGCGGATTTCCAAGCCCCTCTGCAGCAGCCCCTGGAGGAATAGGGGGGTGCAGCTCTAGGACTCCTTCACTGGCTGACCACGGTGGCCGCTGTTCCAAGCACATGAGAGGGAGAAAAGAGTCATCCTTACCGATGTTTAGGGTGCCAGCCCATCATGTGATTTCCGCCCCCCCCCCCCAGTTTTGGGAGGTCATCAGTGATGAGCATGGGATCGACCCCACTGGCAGTTACCATGGAGACAGTGACTTGCAGCTGGAGAGAATCAACGTGTACTACAATGAAGCTGCTGGTGAGTACTTGAATGTTTTTGCCCAGTCAACCTTGCTTTGCATACTGTGGCAGACGGAATGTACTAGGACAGACGAATGACAAAGACGTGCTTCTTGCATTCGTTTTAAATGTCAGCTGCTAAAAACGACACGTTCTAGAGCTCCTCACGACTCCTGCATGTCGGCCATGACTAAGCATGCTGTTATCTCCTCTTCTGAGGCAGAAAAGCACCTCTATTCGCTCACTTTTGTCTCAGATGCTAGAATGTTCTCTAATGATTCTGCTGTGAAAGGAGCATAGAGCACAGCCTTGTCTGTGATCCCTTTGCCCGCTGCACATCTAAGGGCGGCTCTGTTCCCCGCAGGTAACAAATACGTACCTCGGGCCATCCTGGTGGATCTGGAGCCGGGCACCATGGACTCCGTCAGGTCTGGACCATTCGGCCAGATCTTCAGGCCGGACAACTTCGTGTTTGGTATGTAGTCACGATCAGTGGCAACTGGCTCAGTGAGTCTCCCTTCTCAACACTGTGGAAGTCAGAGATCTTAGTGCTGAATGCCAAGGTGGAGACTGTGTGTCCACAGAGAGCCCTAGGTCCTGGCCTAATTCCACCTAATCCTGGGGCGACCACTTCTCTGGCCCCTCTCCTTCTGGCCCCTGGTCTCTGGGCAGTTCAGAGCACAGTGTCAGCCTGCAGAGGGCCCCTTCGCCCCCAAATACAGAGTAGCCTGTGACAGGTGAAGAATACAGAGCAGTGACTAACCTTCCAGCAGGAGTTGATAAGCCGCTGGTGACGTCAGAGGACCAGGGCCAGCAGGTAAGCATGTCAGGAAGCCAAAGGCCAAAGACACAGGTTATGACCAGATGTGGGGCCAGCTGCTTGGAGCCCATCTTCTCTTTGGATCATATTGTGCCCTTGCCCTTGACTGTTTATGGTACCTAATGTAAATATTTACACAAGATTCCTGTTCCTAGTTTTAAAACCAGTTGGGTTTTGGGATGCCTGGGTGTCTCAGTGGGTTAAGCGTCTGCCTTCAGCTCAGGTCATGATTCCAGGGTCCTGGGATCGAGCCCTGAGTCAGGCTCCCTGCCCAGCAGGGGAGTCTGCTTCTCCCTCTGCCGCTATTTATGCTCTCTCTCTCACTCTCAAAACAAAACAAAAAACCAGCTGGGTTTTGTCAAACCATCTTCCCGATCAGTTAATAACTCCATCTGAACTAAACTTGCTTTTTATCCTATTATGATGTCCAGTGTTTTTGAGGATCATTGATGTAGAGACAATTTTCCATAGGTAAAAAAGGTATCTAAAAGAGAAGAATCTGCAACTCTTAAGATTAGTCTACAAATGACAGAAATCAGAATTCCTAATGTTTTAGTGTCTAATATTCTCCTTTCCCTCTGGCAGGCCAGAGTGGCGCGGGCAACAACTGGGCGAAGGGCCACTACACAGAGGGAGCTGAACTCGTGGACTCGGTCCTGGACGTGGTGAGGAAGGAGTCAGAAAGCTGTGACTGTCTGCAGGGCTTCCAGCTGACCCACTCGCTGGGGGGCGGCACGGGGTCCGGGATGGGCACGCTGCTCATCAGCAAGATCCGGGAGGAGTACCCAGACCGCATCATGAACACCTTCAGCGTCATGCCCTCGCCCAAGGTGTCCGACACGGTGGTCGAGCCCTACAACGCCACCCTGTCCGTGCACCAGCTGGTGGAGAACACGGATGAGACGTATTGCATCGACAACGAGGCCCTGTACGACATCTGCTTCCGCACCCTGAAACTGACCACGCCCACGTACGGCGACCTCAACCACCTGGTGTCGGCCACCATGAGCGGCGTCACCACCTGCCTGCGCTTCCCGGGCCAGCTGAACGCCGACCTGCGCAAGCTGGCCGTGAACATGGTGCCCTTCCCGCGCCTGCACTTCTTCATGCCCGGCTTCGCGCCGCTCACCAGCCGCGGCAGCCAGCAGTATCGGGCCCTCACTGTGCCCGAGCTCACGCAGCAGATGTTCGACTCCAAGAACATGATGGCCGCCTGCGACCCGCGCCACGGCCGCTACCTGACCGTGGCCGCCATCTTCCGCGGCCGCATGTCCATGAAGGAGGTGGACGAGCAGATGCTCAACGTGCAGAACAAGAACAGCAGCTACTTCGTCGAGTGGATCCCCAACAACGTCAAGACGGCCGTGTGCGACATCCCGCCGCGCGGCCTCAAGATGTCGGCCACCTTCATCGGCAACAGCACGGCCATCCAGGAGCTGTTCAAGCGCATCTCGGAGCAGTTCACGGCCATGTTCCGGCGCAAGGCCTTCCTCCACTGGTACACGGGCGAGGGCATGGATGAGATGGAGTTCACCGAGGCCGAGAGCAACATGAACGACCTGGTGTCCGAGTACCAGCAGTACCAGGACGCCACGGCCGACGAACAGGGGGAGTTCGAGGAGGAGGAGGGCGAGGATGAGGCTTAAGAACTTCTCAAATAAATCGTGCATCTTTAGTGAACTTCTGTTGTCCTCAATCAAGCATGGTCTATTTGTATACTATGGTGCTCCGTTTTGCCTCTGTCAGAAATTCACACTGTTGATGTAATAATGTGAAACTCCTAAAAAATTACAGTATTGTCTAAGATATCTATACTAATAAAAAAGCATGTGTCCAAAACTGTGTGGTCTCCTTAATTTCATTTCAGGCAATTTTTATTCTTTCACTGAATGCTTCTTAAATATGTTTCTGGGTTTAGTGACTTTAACAAACTAGGATTTCTGCTTTAATGTTTTTAATTAATAGCCTTTTCTGCTCTGTTAGTGAAGACAGATAAAAAGACAGTTTTTCATCTTCACGGGCCCAGAGTATTAAAGTAAATGAATCCAGGAAACATGTGGAAGAAATAGAGATTTAAGGACAAAGCAAACCTTCCTACCTTATTTACTGTAGTTCCAGCAACTCTTGTGAAAATGTGGTATCAAGGGCCCTAGGCAAGGATTTTCTTCTGTTTCTCTTTGAACAATGATAAATTCAAGTAAAAAGACCAGTGAAAGCTTGTACCTCTCAGATAAAAGGGACAGCATAATTCTAGATTCAACATATCCTGAAATCACAGTCATAAATACTCCAAATGCTTCAGCTAAGATTCACTGGCGAAAAGTAAAACAGATTCAGAATTCAATTTTTAAGCCAATGGTAGACATTCACAACTTCAATGTTAAAAAAAATCAGCTTTAATTTTTGTAGCACTTAGAGCTGGAAGACATTTTAATATGTATTATTTTCTTTTGGCCGGGAGCAGTTTGCAGGGAGGAGTAGAAAGCATGGGAAGGCAGGTGAGCTAAGGAGGGACTGCAGTGTGTTTCAAAGGCAGCAACAGGCTCAAGCCCCACAGTAAGGAATCCCCAGGTCCCTGCCGTTCTCAGGGGCCTTTTTCCTGTAAGAAGTCTTCTGCTAACTTATTGAATTCATCTGCAAAACGTAAATGTAGGTTGTGCTTGCCTTCTCGTATCAGATGCAACCTAAAAAAAAAAAAGTTTATGATTAATGGCACACCATTTAAAACTCACCCTTTCCAACATTTCATGAAAATCTGAAGTGAAAACCTGCCCCATCCTTTTTTTTCATGATGACTATTGGGGAGGAAAGGTAAGGTACATAATACAAACTTTCCCTGATTATAGACGTAAGGGTGAGAGCTTCTTGGGGCGTTTACAGCCAACCTGGGGGTTGACTTAACAGCACACACATTGTATTTACAATCTGGAACTGTATCATGTAACACATGGTTTGACTTTAAATCTGATTGAGAGTGGGGGATGTGATTTGGTCATTACTTAGGGGGGAAAAAAAACCCCATTTTAATAAGGTTGATTTTAAGAGAGAAGGTTGGAAAGCCAAGAAAAATACGAAATGTCCAGAATCCACTGGATTGGAACAGGTGAGCTTCCTGAGGTATCCTAGAGTGAAAGCCCAAGTCAGAAATCACAGCCCCCAGCAGCCTGTCATTTAAGATTCAAAATCACCTTGTCACTTTTGGAGGATTGAAGAAATCTGAATATTAGCCAGCAGACAAAGGGCACGTAAGTGTTCCTGGGGGACCTTGGGGGCAGCTGGAGCTAGCCTCAGCAACCCTTTGTGCATGTCTTGTGGCAAACCTCACTACTCCTAAGACTTCTGTCATAAGCTTTTGGTCAAATGTGGCTGGTTTGCAATTTCTTGAATATAGGCAGTCTTCTTTGAGTTCTACATTTTCTTTAGTGGCTGTAAAAGTGCAGAAATAAAGTGTTAAACAAAGCTTCTAGGATATAGGCACAAGTTCAAGCTGTTTTGTCTATAATAACAACTGGACATTAAACGGTCCTATCAGGGCAAAATGCCAGTTACTACACCGCCTAATTCTCTGACCTTTCAACAACTGGGGGTTGAGAGCTCTAAGAACTTGAGGGAGGATTTGTAGGGAAAAGGAGCTGGGGGAATAGAGCTGTCCTTGGACAATGTTGGGCCCCCTGCAACTCAACCACGTGGGGTGTGGGGCAGGGGTACCTAGATACACCTGATTATCTACTTGAAAGAAGGATATATTGTCGGCATCTTTCTGAGGCCCTTGGGAAAGCTAATAATGCCATTAATAATAGCCAGAACACTCCAAATTCAATTTTAATGCTGTTCACAAAAAAAAGGATCAACTGCAGCAACTCCAAAGATAGGATCCCATTTGCCCCACAGAAGGAGCAGGGCTTGCAGGGATGCTCAGGGCCTCCATTTTTAGAAGGCAGAAAATAACCAGCAGCCGAGGATACTGAGAGGTCATAGAAGGACGTGTTTAGGCTAACCTGCATCCCCTAATGTGTGCTAAGCTGAACTCTGAAGCAGAGGGACCCTGACCTGCCAAAGTTGGACGTCCTCTTTGTGGGTAGCCACAATGGTTATCATAGGGCCTACCCCATTTCTACAATTTGCTCAGATTCCCAACAAGGAAGGAGAGACACCAGCTGTGCATCTCTTCTTTTTAGCCTCAGTGTATCTGCACTATTCCTATGGTAATCTCTAGGTCTTAGGGAAATAAACACTAGGTCCCCTTCATTAAAAATATGGGAGGCCTGTTTTCAGGCATCTACATTCAGAACTGCACTGGACTGTGGATGGATGGATGGAATGATGGATGGATGGATGGATGGATGGATGGATGGATGGGGCTATAAAGAAAATTGCTCTCCTCACTGATACGTTTTGGGGGTCATTTCAAGGTCCTTAGTATAATCCTTTAGGATTCACTATACTTGAAACCTATCATGTGTTCCGCTTTGGGAACAGTCCTCTGGACAAGCATAAATATACAGCTGTCAGGGCTATGAAGCAATATACTGCTGATATAGATTCTCACCCAAATAACAAAAAGAACTAATCACATGCTCCATGGAGGGTGGTTTTCAAACAATCACATTTTCCAGGAAAATCAGTAGCAAGTCCCCCACCGTCAGACACATAGTGCAACTGGAAATGTAGGGGCCTCTGAGGGGGCAAATACAAATTCCTCTTTCCCGGGGCAGGTTCCTGCCTGCATTTGGCACCTTCAGAAAAAGAGATTTGATTCTAGATCTTTTGAGGAGCTGAAATGTGTCTGATCCCAGAGTGTAAATTCAATGGTCACTTTACCTCTGCTTGGGAAGAGTCCTTCTAGGATGCTCCTTACAGATGAGGTGGCCAAGGACAAACAACACGCCGGCCCCACCATACTACCTCTCCTTCCTCAGTCTAACCTTCAACAGCTTTCAAATTAAGCTGTGAGAACTACAGACAGGAGCAGCCCATAAGTAACGTGCCATAGCATTTTTTTCTTCACTTTGGATGTGATAAAACTCTAGTGGTATATGAACCCCTAAAGTTGCTAGTCGAGTCTGTGAGCATTTTTGTTTTAGTTGAAAACCAAAGTAGGCTGCTGGTTCTCTGTACCTGGATCTCTTCCACAATGACAACTGGACAGCCATGTGGCTAACAGGGAGGCCTGGTCACTTTCAGGCATTCCTTCCAAGGCCATCCAGACCTCGTTGCCAACAACATCCCCTTTTAATTCTTTATTCTCAGGCACCTGGGTGGCTCAGTCAGTTAAGCGTCTGACTCTTGATTTAGACTTAGCTCATAATCTCAGGGTTTTGAGATGGAGCCCTGCGTCAGGCTCGACGCTGGGCATGGAGCCTGCTTGGAATTTTCTTTCTCCTTTTTCCCTCTGCCCCTTCCCCCCACAGTCACTCTCAAATAATTAATAAATTATATTTATAATTTATATATATAATATATATAATAATTA